TAAAGAAAACATGATTGAGTCCAGGGACATTACGCTTAATAGAATAACTCAGTCACAAAAGGAAAAACACTGTATAAGACCACTATTATAGAAATAAGAGGTCTAGGGTTGGGAGAAGGGAGAGCAGAAATAGAATGGACAAACAATGGACACTGCAATGGAATAGGAGAAGGGGATAAACAGAGAGTACATGTATTGGAGTTAACAAGTTGGAACATAATGGATCAAATGGGGAAGAGGAGAGGGAAAGGAGAAAGAGGAATGTTAGATCCACAGAGATTAGTGGACACACAGCTAGGATGAAGGAAAAGGCAAGGTTCAGGGAGGAGGTGATGAGACGTTATGATCAATGGCATTGATAGATCACAGCATATATTTGGCAGTACTGTTTGTTTGGGTTCATGAGTGGTGCCAATGGTTAAAGGTCTGTCTTCCGGCCTGAAATATTGGAAGTTCTAACTCAGAGGCCTCTCAGGACAAACATGGCAACATGTTTCTGAGAGTTACAGCCTTCAAACCCCTATGCAACAGTTCTAGTGTGCACACATAGGGCCACTGTGAATCTGAATCCACTTGATAGCAGCTAAAAGCAGCTGTCTTTGGAATCCTGGGGCTGTAGGTGCTGACATCTTGTCACCTCTGTTAATATTAATTTTGCTTTCTCCTATTTTTTCTGCCTCCCCTTTTCTCCACCTACCTGATTTCCTACCCTGATATTTTCTTCTCCCGCTGCTCTTGCATAAGACCTGCTGATGGCCCCCATACCAAAGTGATGAATCTTGGCCGCTGAGAGAGAAGAGGTTGCCACAAAAAAAAAAAGCTGGAGTAGCAAAGTTCCATGACAAAATTAGAAGCTGAAACAGCCTTGACAGGCTGCCATCCAACTAGATGACATTTAACAGGAGTACATACAAGGTCTTATGCACTGATTTTAAAATACAGAAAACCTCTAGTGGTGTCCTTTGAAAGTCATTCTCTAAAGTGCTACAGACATTTAGTTATTAAACAATCCCTTGACTAACCTAATACTGAGTTGTAAATTTTATGGAAACCTTAGTACCATCGCTCTTCATAGACTCTGACAAAACTCCTTGTTAAGCTGGGGGAAACTTGAAATTTTACATATAAAAGAGTTATTCTTAAAGAACAAGTGAACTCACTCTGACTGGTTAAAATTAGTGGCTTCTTTACTGGTTCCCTGGTGGGCTGGGAGTCACACTCCAAACCCAAAGGTGGTCGGTTCAAATCCACCTCTGCTCTATGGGAGAATGATGGGCAGTCTCCTCCCATGCCCATGAAGCTTACAGACTTAGAAAACTGTCGGAGGGTCAGTGAGGACATGATTCTGACTACAGTGGTGAGTTTGAGAGTCTTTTGCTTGTTTGATGCTTTACTAATGGGTTATTGAGCATGCATTTGTCAGGCACTGGGAAAATAGCAGAGAATAACAAGAAAGTGCCAGAAGGAAAAAGACTAAGATCTTGAAAAGCACAGAGGCCTGGAAACAAGGGAATGTTCCTGATAACTGGAACATTGCTGGCTTCTCTGATATGAACAGTGAATGGTTTTCATCAGCTGTTTTGTATAAACACAGCTACTTTTGACAGCACCATGATAGATGGAGAAGAGATTGAGGTTGTTAACAATTTCAGCTTGCTCGGCTCCACAATCAACACTCTTGGTACCAGCAGTCAGTAAATTAAAAGACAAGTTGCATTAGGAAAAGTTGCTGTTAGGGACCTCACCAGAGTGCTGAAGAATAGTCATATCAGTCTAGAGACTAAGGTGAGCCTGATCCAAGCCATGGTCTTTGCAATTATTTGCTATGATTTGGAGAGCTGGACAATGACTAAGAATGATTGAAGAGAAATTGATGCCTTTGAGTTGTGGTGCTAGAGATAAATATTAAACATACCATGGACTGACAAGAGAGCAAACAGCTCTGTCTTGTAAATCAAGTTGCTCCATGGAGGCAAGAATTGTGAAGCTCTGTGTCAATGCTTCAGATATGTTGCCACGAGGGGCCAGTCTTCAGAGAAGGACATCATGCTTGGAAGGGTGGAGGGATGGAATAGGAGAGGAAGACCCAGGATGAGATGTTTTGACATAGTAACTGGTGTAATGGGGGCAGATGTGTCAGAAGCAGTGAGACTGGCTCAGATAGGGCAATGTTCAGAGCTATTGTGCTAGGAGTCGCAGGCAACTCAACAGAATGTAACAACTGTTCTTGTCAGGAAGAAGGAGAAAAATACCTCCACAAAGCAAACAAATCTTGTTGCCACTGATTCAGCTCCAGTCGTGGCAATTGCATGTATGTTAGAGTAAAATTACCCCATAGGATTTTCAATGACTGTAATTTTATGGTTGTGGTAAGGAGTTGTGCTGCTTACCCACAGTCAGGCAGTTCGAATCCACACATAGTTGGACAATCTCATCCTATGTGGTTTACAGCCACTTAAAACCTGCTGGAGTGTCAGCTTGAGTCTGTTTCCACTTAACAACAGCAACAAAATCTTAGAGAAATAGACTGACATATCCACTCCCCAAAAAACTTAATGTTGCTGGATTGGAACTGACTCACAGCAGGCTCACCAACCTATTTCCAAGGCTGTAAATCCATATAGAAGGATATTTCCCATCTTTGTCCAGCAGAGTGGCTGGTGGATTTGAACTGGCAGAGAAGCCCAGCCTTTGGGTTAGCAATGTGACTTGCAACAGACTAGCCCACCGGCACTCCCTCCAACTCTCTTGCTGTTGTTGCTCTTATATGCTATCGAATAGGAACAAGACCCTCCAGCAGGTATTTGGTATTTTTTGAATATTTTATTTATTTTTCATTTCAATGAACATCTACAGAGATATTGGAATTCCATTCATTCATTGTTGCACCCTTCTCCCCCCCCCCCCGCCTCCCCCCCCCGTTTGTTCCTCTCCTTGAAAAGCAAAAGAAAAACTCCTTCATTGGTACACAATACCCCCTGCACCTCTCCCAATCCCACCCCCGACCCCAAACAGGTTTTAAGGGACAGTAAATTCCACAAGAAGGGATTGCCCATCTTTCTTCCTCGGGGCAGCTGGTATTCGTGGGTTGACAGGATAGTTCCTTACCCACTGAGCCACCAGAGCTCCCTTGTTGTTGTTGTTGTGTGCTGCTGAGTCATAACCAACCCATAGCTGATCCTCCAGTGGATGTTCAGAGGCAGTAAATTTTATGGGAGTTGAATGCCCATCTTTCTCTCATGGAGCAGCTGGCAGATGCATAGCACATACCTTTGTGTTGCCAGTGCAATTCCTTACAGCAAAGCCATTAGAGCTCCCTTAATGGGCCACAAATATCTCACATTTATAGAAACTGATCTAGTCATATAGTAAGAGTTATGAAAGCCATGGCTAGTGGAGCCACATTGCTTTGCATTTCAATGCTTTGCATTTCAATGCTTTGCATAGGTACTGTGTCATAAATGGCCTTTGGAGAAAGATACATGATTTAAACACATGCATTTACTTGCCGAAATGCAAGTGGATGTTTTTCTTCTGTCTTTGGGAGGTGTACCAAAACTGCAGGATCTCGCCAAATTGTATCCAGACTGACTTAAAAACTTATTAATATAAACCCCAACACAGTTAAGATCTGCTCTCCAAGCTCCACAATGCTGCCTAAGGACTCCAGAAGAAGGAAAGATGCTGGAAAGTCAGCCAAGACGTGGATCCAGTGAACAGATCTGAGGGCAAGGCCAGAAAGAAGTGGTTTAAAGGCAGAGTTCAGGACAAGCTCAATAGCCTGGTCCTGTCTGACAAACTGTGAGAAAGCTCCTCACTGTAAGTTACCAGGAGCTCTGGTGGCCTTGTGTAAGGAGCTGTACTGCAATCGCAAAGCTATGCAGTTCAAATCCACCAGTGTCTGTGAAGGGGAAGGATGGGTAGTCTCCTCCCATGCAATTTACTGTCTCAAAACCCATGGGTCGGTTCAACACACAACAACAACATAAACTTATCACTTCGGCTGATCTCTCAGAGAGTTTTCCTGGCAAGGGCAGCCCTACAGGGGCTGCCTAGTTAAGAAAGTACTTAGCAAACTGGCTTCAAAACAAAGGGCGAAAGTAATTTACATCAGAAACCCTAAAGGATGGTTATGCCCAGCTGCTGGTGAAGGCGCATGAACAAGCCCTACCAACTCTACACTTTGGAAAATAAAACTACTAATTTTTAAAGTCTTTAAATTCTATTTTTAAAGCATACTGCCATTTAATAAATTATGATTTAGAATAACCTCCCACCAGATTTCTGAGGCTATAAATATTTACAGAAGACTGTCAAGTCAGAACGTCTCACGGCTGATCCTCTTTTGGAACCCTTATGGGGTGCGAGCTGCCAACCTTCCAGTTGTTACTGCGCACCATCCAGTCAGAACTGACCCCCAGCTGACCCTCCAGCAGGTTTCCAGAGGCAGTAAATTGCATGGGAGAAGATTGCTTATCCCTCTCCCACAGAGCAGCTGGTGGATTTAAAACCTCATGTCTTTGGGATTGCAGCACAGCTTCTTACCACCAGCAACTACTTAAGGAAACATTTTAAGAAAAGCTCTTGGCTGCTCATTTGTTGTTGCTTGCCTTTTGGAGAAACATTTTCTCCCTTTTCGACCCTCTTATCTGCCCTTACTTCTCCAAGACGTCTTTCCTGCCAAGGTTCTTATCTTTCCTGGTCTATCTTGTTCTTTTGTGACGGCTTTCCTCTCTGGCTCTGCAGCTTCCTTTCTGAGCCAGCCATGGTGTTCGCCAATGCCCAGGGTTATCCTTGTGCAGGATTGTCAACTGCTAGAGGGTCAACGCACAGGCTACTGCTGACTGTACCTAATAAAGGTACAGAAAGGCAGGTCAAGGTTTACCTCAATAGCTCACTTCATGTAATTTTTTCTAAACTCCTTCTTAACTTTTCTCCACTTTCTACTCATAAAAGGGAGGAGCAAAACATGCATTAACCACATCTTCTTTTCGTCTTAGCTTTCAAGCCTGGGAATTAGTCCAGCAAACATTGGATTCAACACCCTGACAATGGAATCTGACAAATTCATATGCATCCGAGAAGAAGTGGGTGAGCAGACTCAAGTAGTGATTATTGACTTGAGTGACCCAACCTCCCTGACCAGAAGGCCCATTTCTGCAGAAAGTGCCATCATGAACCCAGTCTCCAAGGTGATAGCTCTGAAAGGTAAGCCTGGAGGGAAGGTAGAGGGAATTGTATCTCATCAGCTGCTTTGTATTCTGAAATATTGGACAAAATGCCAGGTACTAACAGCAAAATGTCAATAGTCTTACCTTAATCTCACAAATTTTAACAGAAGCTGAGTTTTGTATGTTGGAATGAGAAAATACTCAGCACCGGAGTTCTTAAGGTTACTCACTGTGCCAAACACCTGAGGAGGAGAAAGCCCAGAACCTCATTCTGTGGGATCTAGGCCTGCACATGGCAGTGACTGCATTGTGCTGTGTCCATCAGTGTGACATGATGCTTTTGACTAAGGGACCTGCCTTCCAGGGTGCCTTCCACATCCCAGAATAGAAGCCTCAGATGTCCATCTATCTTACGAAGCAGTATAACTGTAATATGGGGAGCTCTGGGGGCCTAGTGGTCAGGAGCTGCACTGCCAACCCAGAGGCACACAGTTCAAATCCATCAGCTGCTCCATGGAAGAAGGACAGGTAGCCTCCTCCCATGCAAGACTGCCTTGAGAAGTGGCTGGAGGGTCAGCTATGGGTCAATCTGACTTGACAGTGTGCAACAAAAATACTGACAATAACTGTAATGGCACCATAACTCTAAATCGAATTTCACCTCCCTGAACTCAGAAAACCTGAAGTGCTTGGAATCTCATCGTTACCGTGAGAATACAGACTCTTTTTACCTTAACTTGGGAAATGAAAAGATTATTATAATAGAGTTTCCTTGAAAAGTATAAACTGTATTTGGCCCTAAAATAATTTACTGTTAAATATTGACTTTGCCATACCTCTGTTTTGTTACATAAAGAGGGGTAAATTTCCAAATTTAAACAACTGAAAGTTAAAACCATCCACTAAAATAAATTGCTGGGGTTTTGTATTCCTTCTCAAAGCACAAGGAAACTCCCTAATCAATATTTGCAAACCACATAGCATTTTTTGTATTGGAAAGCACTGCCTCAGCATAAGGCATTGTTATCCAACAATGTTCAGTTTTGTTAACTACTTTACCTTTTGTTTTATTAGTCACTCTACCTTTTTCCTTGCAATCTTACCAAAGTGGTTTGTTGTGGTTTTTATTTTTCTTTTTACTTTTATTATTGTTACATAATAAAGCTACTCTGATAAGGGCAAAAAATGCAGGTTAGATGAGAACAAAATTAAACACAAATAAAGTAAAATTGGTTGCCGATGCTACTTTAAAGGAAAAAAAATTAGAAAGCACATTTGGAAAATGAATAGACGAAAATGATTTGTCTTGGCTTTTTAATCTTCTACATAGAGAGAACTCAGTTGGCCTAGTGGATAGAAAGTTATGCTACAAAGCCAAAGGTGGGTGATTTTAATCTGCGGCCCTCAGGCCTGGTTTTAATTGTTTTTAGTCAAACATTCTTCTAAGTGGTATAGCCCTGGTCTGTACAGAGGTAACTTGTGGTTGCTGTGATGCTAAACACTGTGACACTGATGTGTCAAATGCAATAGTGGTTACCCATGGTGGACAGTGTTTGGTGGAGCTCCATAATTAAAACAAGGTTGGAAGCAAGAGTGTCATCCACTTCCGTAAATAGCTTGCCTCCGGAAACCCTATGAACTTGGCCAGAGGAGGAGAGTTATACATGTGTTCAGGTCTTTCATTCATAGGGTCGCTATGAGTGGTCTACAACTCGACGGCACTTAACAACAACAACCACCACCATGATAACTTATGAGTGGAATGAGTTCTTTTTTTCCCATATCAAAAACATAACTGGATAGAAATGGATAGAAACTTCAATACTGAACTGAGCTCTTATACCAAAGTATTATTTGGGTGAACATGCTGTGTAAGCAAGTTATTTTAAAGGTAATTGGAGAGGTTCTTGAAATGTGTGTATTCTTAGTGATTGTTTTCTGTCTCATGACATTTACCCTTTTCTGTTTTTGCTGCTGTCTCTCCTTGTGATGCTTATTTTTTCATGTTTCATACTGTTGCATTACTTTTTATTTCTTTTATTGAAATTTGAGAGAAAGTTTACAAATCATAAAGGTTTTTCCATTCATCTGGCTGTTGCAGTACTTTTTGTTTTGTTTTGGTTTTTCCCTCCTCCTAGCTAAGGGGAACCTTTATTCTGACAGAAAATGAGGAAAGGGGAAGGGATTGTGGTAGGGGAGGATGACCACAGTAGTGAGAACAGTTCAACTATGCAGAGAGCCAGGGGATAAAGAACAGTAAAATCTCAGGTGTGAGATAAGCAAATGACATGGTCAGATCTTAAATCAGATTATTATTTTTTTTAGAAGATAGCATATTTTCAGAGTTGTTAGTTGGCAAAGTCAAGACAGTTCTACCTCATAATGACCCCTTGCACAACAGGAGGAAGCACCGTCTGATTCTGGATCATCATTACTTAACTGGTGTGTGTGAGCCCATGTTGTAGTCCTCAGTGGAGGGTCTTCCTCTTTCTGACTGACTTTCCACTTTGCTAAGCATGACGCTCAGCTGAGTTGTGGTGGCTGCGATTGTTTCTGATTGTTGGTGGTGTTAGGTGCCCTCAAGTCCACTAGTGCGCGTAGGGTAACTACCTTGTGAATGACAGCTTGGAACTTCATCTCCTGCATCATCATCAGACCTCCACCATGCTCAGTCACATTGCTATATACTGCTACATCACTGTCTCAGTCAACCTCATTGAGGGTCTTCCTTTCTTCCTCTGACCCTTTCCCAGTATGATGTCCTTTTATTAGGACTGGCCCCTCGTGACAACATGCACCACGCATCCTGGCCTCTAAGGAGCAATCTGGCTGCATTTCCTCCAAGACAGATTGGGTGGTTCTTTTGGCAGTTCATGGGATGTTCAGTAACTCCTCACCAGCACTACATTTCAAAGGCATCTGGTCTTCTTCAGTCCTCCTGGTTCGCTGTCCAGCTTTCTGATGTACAGGAAATAACTGAAAATGTTACGGCTTGAATCAGTCTTTAAGCTGATACCCTTGCTCTTTTTTTAAATTAAATTTTATTAGTTTTAATGAACATTTACAGAGATTTTGGGTTTTCATTCATTCATTGTTGCACTGTTTTCTCCACCCTCATCCCCAGTTCGTTCTTCTTTTCCCCCACCATGTCTGTTTTAATTGTCCAATTGCCACAGTGCTTGTCAAAGCAAGTTCTGATTAATCTCCTTTGTCAGTGTGTCCCTTGCCATTCCCTATCACTCCTCCCTGAGAGAGACTTCACCCTGAATCATAAGGAAAAGGGGATGGCGTATCCTCTTAGCTACTTCCTGCTGAAAAGGGGCGCTGTGGGTTTCAGGGTGAAGGTCTTCTCTCACCACTCTAAAGGGCCCCTTTGGCAGTAGGAAACACATAGACTATTATGGAGATTGATTTTGGAATTTAGATGCACTGTTATCAATTGCGCTTAGCCGTACATGTTCATATCCTTGAAGATGTATCATGGAAGTGTTGCAGCCTAGAAGATACAAATTTAACTAACAAGTTAAACGTGCATGAGTCAAAAATTTAAAAGCAATAATATTCTGAGTAGAGGTTCTAAGAGTGGCACAAATCAAGTTACAGAGGTAAGGTGGTTCCATTGCCATCCTTACTCTAACTTAATTCTTTTTTTTAAATTTAAATTTGTTATTAATTTCAGTGAAAATTTACAGAGATTTTGGATTTCCATTCATTCATTGTTGTAGATTTGTCCCCTCCCAAGGCTCCCCCCCACCAGACATTACCCTCTTGGAAAAGTAAAAGAAAAGATTCTTTCATTATTTTACAAACTCTCCCCCAGGTCCACTCCACCATGTAGCCATCGCTCTAGACTCCTGTCATGACCGAAATACCTAATCACATATCTCTTTTAAACCGTTTTCTCCCTTCTCTGTTTCAGAGCAGCATACATTATTGAACCCATCTTACTCAGTCTCTCCGCAACCCCAAGGACAGTCCCATTCTACAACAGTGGCACCATGCAATATTTGTCCCTTTGTGACTGGGACATTTCACTCAGCATAACGTTCTCCAGAGTCAACCATCATTGTACAAATATACCACAGCTTTTCTATCCATTCGTTTGTTGATGGGCACTTAGGTTGTTTCCAACTCCTTGCTATTGTGAACAAAGCTGCAACAAACATGGGTGTGCATATATCTGCTTGGGTGTCAGTTATGGTCTCTTCTGGGTATATTCCCAGTAGTGGTATTGCGGGGTACCCTTGCTCTTTAGCACTTTGGAGAGATCTTTGAGAGCAGAGTTACCCAATGCAGCACAGCTTTTGCTTTCCTTTCCTTTTTTAAAAAAAATAGCTTTTTCTTTTTATACTGGCTTCCTTACAATGTTTGTATACAGTGTGCTTCACACTATCCTTCATTCACATTGTGTTTCACACAGTCATTCCCATTCGTTATGTTTTATAAAATTAATCACCATTGAACTATGCCACCATTACCCTATCTTTCCAGATCCTCACTGCATCCTTCACATTTCCTTTATACCCTTCCTCCCTCCACCCATCCAGTTGTGCAACCCTGTGATTTTCCCTCACCCATCCTCACCACTCTGCCCCCCCCCCTTGGGTACTCGTACATGTTTTACTCATTATCTTTCTATTTCTACAATAATAGTTTTCTTATGCTGTATTTGTCCTGATGACACTGAGTTAGTTCACTCATCATAATGCTCTCCAGTCTCTCCCAAGTTATGTAGTATTATTCTAAATCATTGCTCCTAAGTTTTTAATTGTGTGAATGTACCGTAATTTCTCAATATATTCCATGGTGGTTGGACATTTGGGCTGTTTCCATGTTCTTGCAATGGTGAATAACACCTATTGCAGTATTTTTAAGATACTTTACTTAACTTTTTTTTTATATAGTTTGGTGTAGGAGTGGCATCCACTTCCTGAACATGCCTCTGGAAACTATTAACTTTGATAAATGTCAATAGTTATAGAAAAGCTTCAGGCCTTTTATACATAGTCGCTATGAGTCATGTTCAACTTGACAGCA